AGGGAGCCCTCCTGGGCGCAGCGCGGCGCCTGCGAGGCCCAGCGAGCGCGGAGTCGGAGCTCACAGTGTAGGTGCCCGCGCACCCCGCGCCTCCAGGGCCGGGGCCACGGAACGGGCAAGGGGGGGCCCAGGCTCCGGACTGCGCCCTGCCTCGTGCCCATCAGAGGAGGCTTCCAGGAGGAGGTGCCCCTCAGCTTCCCCCAGGGGTCAGGACAGGCGGCCCTGAGCCCCCCGCTTTTTACCCAGGGCTTTGGCCCAGGACTGCCTGTTGGGTGTGTGTGCAGGAGCCGCCTCGCAGCAGGGGGAGGGCGAGGTGACAGAAAGGGGACGTGCCACAGGCTGAGGACCGGCAGGTGAGGGAGGGCGGTTCCGGCTGGGTGTGGGGGACAGTTGCTCTGAGGGGTTCGCAGGTGCCCTGGGAGATCCGGAGCAGAGGCCCAGCCAGTGCAAAGGCCCTGAGGTGCGAAGCCGCAGCTGCCCCAGGGCCTGAAGGGAAGCCTCTGGGTCTGTTGTGGGGGGGGCGTGGGACGTGTGCCTGGGGCCTGGCCACGGAGAGCCTTGCAGACCATGCCGGGAGTTTGAATTTTTCTCAGGGCCCAGTGGGACGCTTCTGGAGGGTTCCAGGCAAAGGGACCTTTGCTCCCTATGACAGTGCTCAGTGGCGCTGGCAGAGCTCACCCAGAGGAGGGCTCAGGGCCGCTGGCCCCGGAGCAGCTGCAGTTCCCTGCTGGTCCCTAAGGCCCAGGGTCCTGCCCCATCTGGAAGGCCTGCCCGGCCGTCTACACGGCTTCCGCTACTGCTCCTTCTTCCCTGAAAAGTAATCTCTTATACTGGGCTGACAAAAACGAAGCCTGCCCGGTAGGGAGAATTCGAAGGACTTAGGACCCGCAACCTGCCTGCCACGGAAAACTGGGGAATGCTTGGTGTGTTTCCTTCTGATGTTTTTTCAATGCCTCTTTTTTTTCCACGCCGGTTTAAAAAGTGAGAGATCGATATTGCCTGTAACCTTTGCCATTTGACGTGTTGTTGGCGTTTTCCCCGTGTCCACACGTGTTCAAGAACGTGATTTTAAATCCTCTCACCTGTGGGCTCCTCCACTTTAGTGACCCGTTTTCCGGCTTTTGCTCTTTGGTGTGTTCTGTTGTTGTTTTGTGGGGTTTTGTGTGTTTTGTTTTTGTTGTCCCTCACCGGAGGATATTTTTTACGTTGCTTTTCAGAGAGAGAGTGGAAGGGAGGGAAGGGGGTAGAGAGAGAGGGAGAGACATCGATGTGAGAGAGGCACATTGATTGGTTCCTCCTGCGCTTGCCCTGACCTGGGGCGGGGAGTGAACCAGAAACCCAGCTGCATGCCCCCAACCAGGAATCGAACCCTCAACCCTTTGGTTCACAGGCCGATCCCCTAACCTCTAAGCCGCACTGGCCAGGGCTTTCAATTTCATTTCATTTTTTGGTATTAGAGTTGGTCTTTCACATGCGTTTACTAAGCCCCTTACACTTGCCAGGCTCTGAGGGCAGAGACATAATCCAGTCTGTGCCGAGCTCCCCGGGGACTTAGGAGGCACAGTCCCCGGCCCAGGCTCACTGTGGCTTCTCGCTGAGCTGGGCTCTGTCTCACCAGACAGGAACCTCAGCAGGGCAGGCTCTGGCCAGTCTGGCCAGTCCCTCACGTTTCTCGGCACAGCCTTGCTCGTGAACCTCACACAGTGCCGACCATGTGGGGGGGGGGGGTTGCTGCT